CAGAATTAAAAAAAAAAAACAAAACTGACAAAACCAAAATAACAAATCTTTTATTTGCTAAAGTTCATTAAATTAATATTTGTTTTCCTATGTCTTTTTTTTTTTTATATGCCACCATTAATTATAAAGATAAGAAAATGATTGGGAGGAAACTAAATGATAGAGTGTTAGAAATGCAAAATGATTCAAAATATTAATGTAATGCTAAGGATGACTGGGTAACAAATGGTACATTTGCTAGTATGCTTGACCTGACACAATTAATATTCCAGGTCATGCTTGGGTTTCCATGATGGAAAGTCTGAGGCAGAGAATTCTAGGGGAAAAATATATCTATTGTATAACTCATTTCTCTGATTTTTTTTTTTTTTTTTTATTTTCCCTGACGAGTCAGAACCATAGTCTTAAAAAAAATAATCTGTGCTTTCACACCTCATTTGCCATATTCACCACTGGGCCACCATTCACCAGAAGGGCCCGATGCAGGGAGGTCAGCAAGAAGCTATTAGCAGAGTACCTTCCTGAGATTTCTTTGGTCTTATTGAGGTGGAAGTTAGCATGACAGTACTGCAAATAACTCAGCTGCAGGTTTTTTAACAGCTAGCACAGTTTTCCCCATAGTGTTTGGCACTTTAGAAAATTGTTCCTGGAAATGAAGTCCCAGAAAGCTGGCTTTGAGAGAGGCCTTTCTTAGCTCTGAAGACCATGGGTAAAGAAAAATGTGTCGTTCTCCCTGCACACAAGAGGTACTTCTTGTAACCCATCAAAATATTTTGGAGGGCAGTGTATTTTATTATGGACTAGAGGTGGGAAAAATATTGGAATCAAAGTATGAGGTAATATCTCAAGACAGGTATTTTTCTACCATTGAAAAAGCAGTATTAACTACAATGGTTTTGTAGTTGAGAGAATATTGTATTAAATTAGAAAAGAGATAAAATAACTCTTTTAACACATTGTACCAGTCTCAAGAAGATATGCAAATTTATTAAGTACCAAAGACTTGATTCTCAAGATTCTGAGATTTCTGCAGACTGCCATCTCCCTGCAGAGGATAGGATGAACAGGGCATCCATCAACATACAGCACAGCTGCAAGAAATTGCAAAAATAAGACTCTGATTTGCAGAGATATAAAAAAATGAACGGAAGCAATTTTGCCAGGTATTGGTATGAGCTGGAAAGCAGAGTCAAACTCATCCCCTTTTCTCTCCTACCAAACTTTGGCAATTTTAAATCTAGACCTAAAACTTTGCCACAAACCTTGGGGAATTTTGAGTAAATTAGTATTCATTTTATCTATCTATCTAGATACTAATTCTGATGATTGCTCTGCTATCTGTGTTTGAATACTTGAACATATATAATTAAAATGTAAAGTAATTAACAAGGATTGCTTCAAAAATTATTATTTAAAAATGCATTTCATAATTGATTTTGACCCAGATCTTACAAAAAGTTTGAGCTGTAAAAGAAGCAACAACTTTTAAAGTGTCCAACTGGCCTCACTAAAACTCTAATTCCATTTGCATAGTTCATATGCTATCTATGTAAAAAAAGAACAAAAGGTGGCTCTTTGTTAAGGCACTTTTTCAGCAATAATAATTCAAAAATCCACACTGAATCTGTGGATTTTCACACCTATTATGGCTAATTTTGGTGTCATTAAAAGTGCTAAAAGCCAATCCTATTTGTGCACCTTGAGATATTCAGCAGCATTTCACAGTGTTTGAACCCTTTATGAGCTATAGTTTTTTCTGCTACATTTAAACAAAGAAATGTTGAGTAAGATTTACATGGTATCTCAATATAGATTACAAAATGCAGTTTGAGAAAGCCATTACACTCATGGAGCCATTTGCACTTGCTCTAAGTATGACTAAGAGAAGCAATGCCATTTCTTAGAGCCCAGATAGCGTAACTCGCTTTATATTTATTTAAGTTAAAGAGTTATTTAAGGTAAATAACTTTAAAGTTATTCTTGCCTGTAATTCTTCAGAGGAAAAATGTTTAAATTATTTAAGATGTTCTATTTTTCCTCTTTGGGGAAACAAAAACCAAAAACCAAATCTGTGCTATGCAGATTGAAATAATCTATTTTTTTTTAATAATATCCTACTGAATTTGTTCTTCAGCTTTTTTTTTTTTCCAGTTTTCTTTTTTAAGGAAAAGGCTTTAAAAAGGGTGTAAATTTTGGGTGGGTACAGCTCTGATCAGGATTTTCTACTGATCAAGAAATCCATGCCTGCCAACTTCAGAGAGTCATTATTATGCCATAGTGGTTTATTCTAGATTGTTCTGATTCTCAGTGATGCACATGAAGACATTTTTCTTCTGGAAAACATTTACATTTTCAGTGATATTGTAGTTTTTTATAAAATATGTGTTTCCCTGATGTACTGTGAGAGAACAGTATGTTTCCCACTAGTTGGAGACCTCTGCAGACATGTAGCATGGCTCGAGCACACAGTCTCCACATGGATACAACAGCTGAACGTAGATGGCATAGGAATGAGTGGAAAGATAAAGTAACAATACAATGACCAGTTCAGTGAAATGTGAAAAAAGGTAGTCACAGGCAATCACTTTTCTATTTTACTGTCATCAACAAAGTGAAGGTAAAATTTCATTGATCAGAATGTAGGCAGATCCGACGGCTATGATAGGACTAAATGGGTGAAGACCCATAATGACCATGGTGTAGAGTTGGTTTGTGTATCTCCAGCATGAAATCTAATTCATGTGGAAGACCTTGACTGTGGCGTTTTATATTTGAGAGAACCTGTGTGACAAGTATATAGTTTAAATCCGTGGAATAATTGTGGATCAGTGCAAAGAAGCCCAAGACAACATATGGAAATTGTGTCTATGTAGTGCTTACAGGTCACCAAGAGTTCACAAGCAAAAAATGTACTGGGCTGATAAGAAAATTGCAATAGGACAATGTTTTCAATACTTACAAACATAATAACAGCATTAGGAGAATCTGTAACTGTAGGAGATGTTTATGTGAGTGAGACCCAGACTTACAGAACCGAAAGTCTAAGATGCAGCTGGGTTTTATAGACCCTACAAATGGACCTGAAATTTCTCATTCGCTCCAGTGATTTTGCTTGCCTGCTACTTGAAGTATGGATCCCTACCATTTTAGTTTGGCATTCTGAAGAGCTGAAGGAGCAACCAGTGGTTGTTTAGTATACATATTTCTTCCACTTATCTCTATTTGTTTCCTCTTTCCCATTACACATTTAGACTGATGGTTTAGTGGAACAGTTTATAGGGTTTGCACTAAGAGGGAAACATATAACAGAGAGCCAAAATAAATTGTCATTAGGGCCAGATCACTTACAGATATGGGGAATATAGCCCATAAAATTTTGAATAGCCCAACATTATTTTGAATAAGCTATCATCTCTGAATATTTTTGTCCATTAAACAGTATGTTTTGTATGGGCCTTATTTAACTGTTTTGACACAAGAAATTGAAACTTCCCAGTAGGATCTCTTAATGAAAAATGCATTAGAGCTAATTGAGGAGTATTCAATCCTCTCAGTCCCAAGAGATTAATACTTTATGAGGAAGCTGATGCTCTACTTAGTTTTCTCATGGGTCCTCAGTAGTGTTCCAAAGGAGAAACACAAGATTTTAAGCATTTACTCTTTCCTTTACCTTTCCTTACATAATGAAACTGATTTATTTTCTGACTATTTTTGTTCAATACTTCTAAGCAATTAAAATTATTATAAAAGCAAGGGACAATATATTTTAACCGAGCAAATATACTTTAAAAGTTTTAAGAATACTCTGAGAATACTGTTGTAGAAAATATCCTTAAAAGAACTCAGTATCTTTAATTTTTGCCAGGTGTATTTTAAGCCTATAGCATCCGTTTTACAGATTTAGTGGCTTTGTGCAATATGGTAAAGGGATTCTCATGTTTAATCATTCATAATTAATTCAGTAAACTCACATATGTCTGAGAATTGTTCATATACAACTGATAAAATCCCTACATTTATAGGAATGATTTTTCACATAATTTTGACTTGCCAGATATTCACAGGTTTTTAATGATGTAGATTACTTGTTCAGAATTTGAAACGTATGCTTTATATTAGTAATTGTTATATTAGATCGCTCTAGTGATGCAATTAATGATGTATCCTGAAAAAATGAAATATCAAATTTAGTGAAGAATTAATCTTTCAGTTTAGTTCACAGTTCAGAATTTTTTTTTCTAAATTTTTGTTTTTCACAAATTTTATACTATTAAAACTAAATACATTTGAATAGCTCAAGGAATTTAATGTGAACATTTTGTTGGAAAAAAGCAATCACTGGTTTTTGATGTTCCGTAAATTTTCTTGTATTTTCCCTTAACTGATCACTCAGTTTTACTTTTAAAAATGCTGCAGTTGCCACTGTCTTAGTACACATTGTGAGTCAGCTAGCATGGAGTTTAAAGGGACAAGAATTATTTTCTCTTTCAGTATGATTTTGGAAAGAATAGGTAATATATTATTGTTGCTATTGTGTATAGGATTTTAAATTTTAATTTAAATTAAACTTTAAATTTCAAAACAACTATAATATTTTATCTTTAAAACTAGATGCAAATTTGCACACTTTTAATTATTTTTTTAAGGGAAAACTGGCATGTTTTTTGTGCTGTGGAAGGTGGAAGATTGAATGTGAATGAAAGAAAATATGAGTTTGAGATACAGGAAGCTCTTCCTTCCATAAAATTAAAGTTACCCCGATTTTAAGAGCTGAAAACCAGATTATATGTTACATTATCCTATTTAAATCCTTTTGTAACTTTAATGCAGTCCCCAGAGATGCATTTAAACTATAGATCTAACCCATGTCAGTAGTCATCAAAAACTTTGTGTTGAACTGTTTATTATATTGGTTTTTTAAATTAGTTTGGTTTATAGAATAAATGCAAGAATGAGTTTTAAGTTAGTTGAAGTCAAAGGTAACCCCATCTTCTGTTCAGATTGCAGGCATATACAACTCGCCGTTCAGAAAATCCCCAGATCCGATGGAACTGCTGCTACGGAAGTCAAAGCCATTGAGCCACAGACGGCAGCAAATGAGCTCTCTCACCGATGAACTCTATGACTGGCCAACTTGTAGAAGGCCTCCGACTTTCTCCACAGAACAGCCTCTGCCACCTATTGGCAGACAGAAACCTCAGGTAACATTTTTCGGTGTCTCTGAGGCAGCTTTAGTTTGTATCTTTTATCACAGGTTATCATAGAATATCTTGAGTTGGATCATGAAGTCCAAAAATCCCTTTTATAGATTTGTTTTTTATATATAGATCTAGTACTTGCATTCAGGATATAAAGTCTTTGAAATAGATTTGTCTTAAAGAAAAAGAAATCTAGGTGGTATGTAAAAACAGGGAAATATATTTCTTTAGACTTTATTTTTGTTTTTTTGGGGAAAAAAAGTAATTTCCAATATTTCAAAGGGAAGACCTGATATAACTGAATATCAATATTATGATTCATTACAGGTAAAATGCTTAATTTCCAATTATAAAGCAATGAAAATGGGAGAAATTAAAGGTAACAGGACAAATTAACCAGTTATCATAACATTTTCCTCTTTTTGTAATTGTTTTACAAATACTTTTTGCAATATGAAGGCCAAGAGACATCCTCTTAATGTAGAATAGTTCCTGCTATTTTGTGTTCACTAGCTGTATGTCAGCTGTAATTGCAAAAATTTCTACATTTTGTTCTGCATCACAGCCAAGTTGCCCAGCTCCCACTGTCGTGGTCTCAATTTTAATTTCAGTTGATGCCAACATATGTTGCATAATGCTTTTTTTTGTCTTCTACAAGCTAATGGGGATCTCTGAGATGATGTATCAGAGTGAATGTCCCACAAGATGGCAAAACAGTTTTTGCCACCTTACTATCAAAACCTAAGGGGAATATACCCAATACACAGAGCAGATAGACTTGTGAGACCTTTATCTTCCTCACTTGATGACAGTACAATGACATATATCTTTTTCAGTAAATGCCTGATACAGGTACTTTTGGGATAGAAGTGTTCTGTCTTTCCCTTTATTCTGAAGAATTTTTCAGTTTACCCAATCTCGTGAACCTTCTACTTACCTCACACATACACTTTCAGTGCCAGTTTGACTTTGAATGACCACAATGTCTTCAAAACATCTTACACTTTTTTAAACTCTGTCCTATATTTAGATTTTCTCTTCTGTATTTTGCTTAGAAAGACAATGCTTCTAAATGAGTCCTTCTCAGTAACTTTCACTGAAGCTATCATTTAGCTACAGAAATTAAACAACAATAATGAGCAATAAGCAATATATAATATATCTTTATTGGTATTTTACTCCTCTGAATCAATATGGTTATTTTCACTATATTATTACAGCCGTTGGTAGAGGTGATTTGAACACAGTCTTAAGTTTCAACTACTGCTGACATCAATCTCTGCGTACACATGCCATCTGCCACAAATTACCTGTGGTTTATTGATTGCATCCACATTGTTCTTTAGTGGGGACAGCCGTGGGTGTGCTGGCTAACCCACAGAGAAGAGGCTTTTCTTGTCTTTATGTCATGACTGGCTTGTCTGTAGCAGGACAAGTCTGTATCAGTGGTAAGACATGAAAGCAAAGGCGATTGGGTTAGAGCATGAGAAGAAGATGCAGGCCTGCCAGAATAACTCTGGAGAAGTAGAGGTGAGCCACACAGAGATCCACACTGCTTATAACAGTAAGGATCAACTTCAGGGCAATTCTCCACCTTTTGTCCTTCCCTCCTTATGTTTTCCCTACCTTGACTGCTTCTTCCTCACTGAATGAACTCATTTACTCGCATTACAACTGAGACAAAGTGTGAGCCAACAAATAGTTTGGGTAATTGGGTGGCTTGGAGTTGAGATAGATGTGACATTATAACTTTACCTTCTGGGACCAAAGGGATTATGATGGTACTTCAGTAGGATGTGACTGAATCCACTGTCTCTCAGGATAGAAGGGAAGATTTTGCCTAGTGGACATGGTATAGGAGTCATGCTTTTAAATAAAGAGAGGTTTTCCATTGTTAAGTTGCTCTTGCAAAACCACTTTACTGTGTACAAAGTATCTTACAAGCTTCTATTTGGATTTCTAATATTTCATAGGCCTTTCTAAGTTCAGACACATGCACAGCAGTCATGCACAGATAGCCTTTTAGAACAAACCAGAAGAGTTCTGTTTATTTTCTGCACCTCAAAGAGGGAATTTACTATATAATACTTTAATCCTTTCAGCACCCTGGGATATACACTGTGGGGTAAATTTTCAAAGCACAGCGCGTGGATTTAGCTGCGCGACTCTTATTGATGTTAATGGGAGTCACACGGCTAAATCCCTGCACAACACTTTGACAATTTAGGGTTGTATGTCTAAGAAAAGGACACTGGTTTGAGCTGATGAAACAGCTGGAAATGAAAATCCATCAGAATGCATCATCCTGAAAGTTGTCTGGTGTGACAATAAGGAATTTAATTGCTAGATATACTTGTGTCCTAGTTCTCTGTGGTAACACTTTTTGGCACCAAGCTTCTTTTTCTCTTATCTGTCAGGCCCACTGTGAGGTACTTGTTACTTCACTGTTCTTTCAGGTATCTAAAATTTGTATTGCCCACAGGGTTGTGTATTTTATATGAGAATATCAATTATATATGTTTAAAAGAACAAAAATCAGCTGTCTATCTATCAGCTTTCTCTTAGGGAAATGGATATTTAGCATTTTATAGGTAAGCTCTGTGTGTGTAAGATAGTGTATTTAAAAGAAAACTTTTAATGATGCTTATACATCAGTTAGATCTAGCATTTTTATTACCAAGTTAACTAGAATTATAGTTTGGTGGAAACAGAGATAATGCTAAAATTAGTCATCTGTTCATTAAAAGGCATTAGTATCAACAAGCACATTGCCATTTTTAGGAGATTTTTTACATGCTGCTAGCTGTCCTGGAATGGGGTCAGTGAAGAACGTATGATTTCATGTAGATCATAATTTTCATCATGAGTTTCTGATTTTATGGTAAAGCAGTAAGAATGGTGATCTACTAACCTTCATTTGGCAGACCAGCTGGTAGAGAGATTTATGCTGCTCAGTACAAATTCCAAACATAGACCATAGAGTTGTGTGAGTTGTTTTCAGAGTAAAAGCTGTTGGTTGACTCCCTCCCTTCCTTTCCTAGCCTGACCTCCCCAGGAAGATTTCAGTTTTGAAGCAGGATGCCTGAAATTCTTGCAGGCACTGCCAATTTTAAAACATTTCTAAGCACCATTCTACCATAGATTCCACAAATCTTAATCTTGTAAAATGGAAACAGGTAATGGATTTTTTAGAGGTCTTGTCATCTTAGATATATGCCTTAGGTGCCTCTTCCTAGGTAAGTTTCTTCCAATATACTATTCAGAGGAATGGAAAAATCTGCAGGGAATATTTAGAATTATCTTAATATTCTAATATTTATACCCCACTTTCATTAGTGATGACACAGCC